CCACAGTAATGAGGTCAAGGGCAAAATCAGTTGGGTTGGTAGTTCGAGGACATTCGTATCCAAGTGACTCAAAGTGAGGTAGCATATTTGGGCCACTGCCAGCATAAACTGGATATCCCCCCCTTGCTATCAAAAGGACGTTAGAGAAATATTGAAATATATCCGACCTTGACTGGTGGATTGTCAAAATAAGGGTCCGACCTTCCGCTGCCAACCCGTTTAAGACTTCAATGATGGATGTAGCAGTGAAGACATCCAAGCCTGACGTCGGTTCGTCAAGTAGTAGAATTTTCGGGTCCGTAAGAATCTGAATAGCAATGGAAACTCTCCTCTTTTCACCCCCACTAATTCCTTTAATCAAGTCACTTCCGATCAGGTTATTTGCACAGTCTTTCAAGCCCATCTTCAACAAGATTGCCTCCGCTCGCCGGTTCTTCTCATCCTTCGACATCCACGTCGGTAAACGTAACCCGGCAGCAAACTCCAGTGATTCTCGGACAGTTAGCGAAGGCATCAAGGCGTCATCATCTTGTGTGACAAAGGAAGTAACGGATCTAACGACATCCCTTGAAGGCTTCGCACCGTTGTATAACATATCACCTCCAACGTAGTATCGTGTGCCGATAGATCCCTGTAACCGATTTGCGATTGAGCAAAGCAGTGACGTCTTACCACTGCCAGAAGGGCCCATGATGACGTTCAGTTTGCCTGGTTCGAACTCCGCGGTGATAGGCTTGATTATACTCAGATTCTTCATCTGAAACCCACGGCGAGTAAGGAAGCGCTTTTTAATGTCCAAAGAATAGTTCTCAAGCTTGATAGATACCTGGCGACTATCTGCTTGAGGACGAGCGATAAATTTTTCCTTGCCTACTGAGTGATCTTTTTCCGCATTCCGTGGTTGAGCAACAATAATATCAATTTTGTTGAATTTCAAAATCACACCAGCAAGTGCATAAAAGAAGACTGCAAAAGAAGCAAGGACCACAATGGGACGCCAAATCCAATTTTGAGGTATCCCAAGGCTGTCCACTATAAATCGGCCAGTATATTCTTTGCAGTGGGGATCCATAGGGTCTTTTGAGTAAGGACAGTCATAGAACTGCCCATACTCAGAACCGTTAGGTCCAATGAATTCGTTCGCGCATAACGCACTAAACGCATAAAAAGTATAGGCACCCCATTTTACCCATCGGACGTATACTGGAATCTGATTGGTTTGAACAAAGTATCCGCAGGCTACCGTCTGAAGGGTATAAGACAGGTTTCCAGCCAAACTCGCCCCGGGAAAGTGTCTACAAATACTTATACAGACAGCAGCAAAGGTAATCGCCGTATACTGCGTAAGTATATTTAGTACCAGGAAAACAAAGAATTCGACAGCCGCCAGTCGGTACCCAACCATAAAGTAGAATATGGTTGAAAATAGAATAGGCACAGGCAGATCCTCTAAAAACAGTCTTGCGGCCCGTCGGCTAAGCAAAAATGCAGGGACACCGACGACTCCTTCGCTCCTTTCACGATCAAAAAGTTGTATATCAGTCGTAAGCCGGAAAATTTCGTAAAGTAGAATGATATACCCATTGAGACTGCTTGCTGTGTATAAACTTCCTTGCCGCGATCGGATACCTGTAAGGGACCCATCAAGCTGCAAATATACCCAGCCATTCAGAACAGCCATGCCAATTGCCTCAAATAGACAACTTGTCATTCCCATAGGGTCTCTAATAGTCATTTTAATAGTCCTCGCGGTCAGGACCCAAAATTGTCTAGTAAAGCCGACACTTTCATGTGTGCTCCTGCCAGTGATAGGCTGCCTATTCGACGAGGCCGGTTCTCTTTTCTTGGGTTTCTTTCTCGAAGCTTCACTCCACGCTATTCTAAGGCTCTCAACCCTGTCCCGTGAAGCTAATTCAGCCTCAGGCGTCCTGTTGTCGTATGCCGCCAAGTCTACCAAGAACTCCGCAGGGTTAACGAAAGGGGGTATAGAATATCCCTGTTTCTCAAAGTATACAACAGATTTGTCTGCATCGCCGCTATAAAGTACTGATCCACGGGAGAGAAGGACAACTTTATCGAACAGACCCCAGATCTCCGAGCGAGGAGAGTGAATGGAAATGATGATGGTCCGGCCATCCAAAGCTAGTCGCTTCAGGCTTCTAACAACCTGGTAGGCACTCGTTGCATCTAGCCCTGTTGTCGGCTCATCGCAGAACAGAACTGAAGGATTCCCTAGCATTTGGACCCCAATGCTTGTACGCCTCCTCTCGCCACCACTGCATCCTTTGTGTGATGAGTTACCAATCCTGGTATCAGCACACTCTTTCAAGCCCAGCTCAAGTATTACTCGTTCAACCACAGCATGTCGCTCTTCCACAGTTGTAGGTGGCGGCAACCTCAAATCTGCGGAATACTGAAGTGTTTCCCGCACTGTTAGGGTGGATATTAAGACATCCTGCTGCATCAAATATGCACTTCGATTGTCGTTCGTTGTTCCTTTTGAATCAAATGTAATACCTCCAGACACTTTCATGCGGCTAGTCCCCATGCGGCCAGCAATGATATTTAATAAGCTTGTCTTTCCAGATCCGCTGCCACCTATAATGGCTGTGAGAGTGCCATGAGGCATGCTAGCAGTCACGCCATCAAGGATCGTTTTGAAAGCTGTCTGGCCCTTCGAGGGAGAGATACGACTCCATATTGCAGCTGCCGGGCTCTGAAATATTGACGGTGTAGTATCAACATGAAGCGCAAGGTCATTTACTTCAACGTCGACCGGTTGAACAGCGCGAAGGGACAGGTGAGATCTATCCGGCAACTGGGTGACATCCTCAGCATTCTCTTTAGTCTCACTTATTTCAAGTGACGGATGGGAAGGATCCTTTTCCACAAGTCTCGGAGTGTTACACTGTGAAATCACCATTTCGGGTGTAACTGTAACCGGTTTATATCTCAGCTAGTTATCAAGGCTCAACGGAGTACAATTAGCTGTGGTTGTGTACGAAACAGTTCCAGAGGCATTTCGCGCCAGAAATACAGAGTGTCTAGCGGATGTTCTGAGGGTCCTTTGTCGTGAACAAATGCTTCGATAAATATGGTATATTTCCACGAAGAATTGTCTTCGTCTGGGGTAAGCCCCAAGCTATATATCTCAAGCATAACATTGAACCGAGGTGGGACTCCACCCGTATATTCCGTTTATTAGTTAACTAGTTATGCATCCATGCAGTGGGGCTAGGAAGGTTTGAACATCCGTTATTACCGGTCAATCCAGGTCATTGTAGTTTAGCCAGGGGTTCTCTGCGGTTTCTCCTGTGTTTCCTTAGAGAAAATTTGAGTTGCTGGCAAGTAATCGTGTCATCTTTATGGAGAGATCTTCTGTCGAAAGTGGGTTATTCTGCCAATCAAACCATCACGTAGGAGTATCCTGCGTACGGAGTAGCTGGTAGCACTCAAAGAATGGACCACATGTAAACGATCTGAAGCTCAGAGGATTAGCTGAATGACATGGGCGAAATGATGAGGATTCTAGAAAATTAGGTACCCATACCAAGTGCCCGGAATACGAAAACGAAGGCTTCCCTCGACTGGATCTGCCGATGGAGGAGCATGGACCTGTCATACGGCAGGCTCGTTTTCGTTCTCAATCTGCACCCTTTTCCAGAAACCCATGGGAGCCAGCGGAGTAACGGAAGCAACGTTCCCATCGCAAGGAAGTGTTCCAGATATAACAACAAATCGGGGGAATCGGGGGGATTCTAACCCAGGATGACTTCGCCTTGTAACAGGACAACACAGGCAAAGCTCTGAGAACGGGGGAATAGATTGGTGTAAAGCTCTCTACCCTCCTTGTCCAGGGCCACCTTGGTTTCATTACGAGTGCCAGGCTCCTGGCCGTACTGAATTGGGTAAATGAGTGCTTTGTTGGTTGATAGCCCCAAGGATTCGTGCTGCGTGTTTACATCGCGAACTTCACGGCAAGGTATTCGAGGCAGACAATCTCCTGGCCAACTGTGTTTCCACGAGCCCAAACTTCAGAACATTCCGAGTGGATGCCGTTCACTTTTTTGTTGAGGGGAGGGAGCGTGTTCGCAGGATCAGGCCGATGTCGCATAATCCCAGCATCTGACGGTGCAAATTAGCGTTCGCTATTAGCCGGGTAGAAGCATCCTGGCAGTGGATTCGCTTGTCTTGCACTTACTTGGAGGCGGGCCGTCCAATAATTGCAGGCACACGCATAAAAATAGAACGTCATTCTCTATAAGAGGGTCGACGGTAATAACTTCCGTCCGTTACTGCCATCCCAAGGCTTCCAAGTTGGTGTCGCGCAAAAATACGAATCACAAAATGGAAATATCAATGCATACAATATATATATAAATCCAAACACCTTAACAATGGATGGGCTATGGCTGACCAAAATCAGACAACAAAAGAAAAAATTGTTACTCTACACAGTCAACCCTTAACTTGAGCCGGTGGGTTGAGAGCCAGCTTTATATTTCAAACGTCCATCAGAAAGCTTGGTGTGCTATACCGAAGATCAGTTCGTTGCCCATCAAACCTTCAGACGATGGACTTTGAACACCATAGCAAAAAGCAGATATAGTAAAAACATCAGTAAGGCCGGGTTGGTAAGTTATGGTCGAAGTTCTCCCGTTCCTCCATTGGCATGGGGGTAACAAGGAGCGAGATATGCCATGAAAGACATTTATTTATCGGACCAAGGAGTATATGGCAAGGGGATAATTTTGTTTTGTCAAGCATAAAATGAAATGACCAGACGCCAGCATGCTAACATGGTGATAAAATCGTAATTATTCGCCGATGCTCCCCGAACTCCCGCGGAACTGCGAAGCATGAAGGCCGCTATGTTTATAAAGTGTAGGCGTGAATCGGTGCTGAAGATAACTGATATCAAGGACAGGTATCATTTATTATTCCTGCGATTGAAGGAGTACTTTAGCCTAAGCTGGGTGACTGGCAATTGTAGACGTGAATCATGTTATCAAAAAGTCCATGTTCATGTCATCAATGATCTTCTCCCAGTCCCAGCTAAGGTTTGGACTTGTATCCATAACATCCCAGACTTTCTCTACCACTCTAAGAGCAGCGTCAATGTTTCGCAGGCTTGAATAAGCCTGTACGCTATCGAATCCAGTTTTGATGCGCTCTCGCTGGTAAGGTTCAAACGCAGAGCACCCTAGAAGAAACAGTGGCATCAAGAGAATGCTATATGCACCGGAGTCTAACGGCAGTTGGTTTAAATAGAGAAGACCATCATCAACCACCTGCGATATCTTCTCGTCGGGGCGAGAGGGACGAATTGTCCTATATAGATATACCCAGGTGGATTGTCTATACAGCTGTGATGCTAGCCAGTTGGGGTTGTCTGCAGGGTATGAGGGCTCCCATGCACGTATTTGCGAGTCTATCCCTACTGCTTCACTCAGCGTCTGATAATCGATGGCAGGTTCGATACCTTGATTGATCCGTTGTCGTATTCTATCCCGGAGGACTGTGATTTCAGATATATAGTGGAACAAGCCATCAAAAATGCCCAACAAAGCGCCAGCCTGAGCATGAGGAACAAAGTCAGGCAGACGAAGGTCACCAGCAAAACAGATTGGACGTCGATCTAGGGTGGTCACCGAGTTGGATACATCGTGGTACTGGAAAAATTCCACAATAAATTGTCTAAACTTTTCATTCCTTGGCCGTTGGGTCATCAAAAGGTACCTCGCAGCATCCATATGAGACCGGTATTCACCCTTGGTCTCTCCCTCGCAGATAGTGTGCAGACACAGCGCAATGGTAGATGCAATCATAGGGTCCTCGACCGGTAAGCTCTCCCGAGACTCCTTGGTTCTCGTTTCGGGCGAGGTTTCCGTCGTAGTAGTCGAGGTAGTAGTGGAAGAGGGTGAGGGCGAGCAAGCCGAGGACTGGGCAGCGATTGTGTTTCGCAGATTCGTGATTGCGCGGTGAAAGTGGTAGTGTTTCCGCTCCTTCAGCATCGGCTCCGGGTCCCGGGCAGAGAGATGAGAGCCAGCCAGACACATTAACGAGTGCATCAGGCCCTTGTGCTGGGTGGCCATTGGGAGCAGGATCTCCTTGAACGGGTTGGAGTCATCGTTGATCAGCGTGAGAACTCGGCTAAAGTCGTTGACAAAGTGGTCAAGGAAGCGCCTGTCGATGTCCGTCTCGATGCCGTCGATGAGGACAGGCAACCCACGAGCAAAAATCGCAAAGGAATGTCTTCTGGCAGCTGTCGTGGCGGTTGGTGGTGTCAGTGAATGTTGACAGATAGTTGTCGAGAGCGGCCAGAAGTAGAAGAGACGTTGAAATGTCCCAAAGGGGTAATATCTAGCTCACCTTCTTCGATCTTCTGCTTGCCGCTCTTCCACACCTCCTTGACCGGATAGCCCTCGCAGACCACGGCGTTTTTCTGACAGTTCAGACATGCCGGCTTCGTCTCGTCGCATTTCTTCTTCCGCCGCCGACACGTTATGCACCCGGTCTTCGATCTGCCCTTGGTAACCTTTGCCTGGCCCGGCACAGGAGGAGGATGTTTGCGTGGCCGACCACGCTTTCGAGGAACGCAGGCCGTCGGCGATGGAGGGACGTCACTTTTGCCATCTTGTGGCTCGCCGTGGTGGAGACTAAGCGGTACCGTTCCATCCTCTTCGTCCTCAATCTCCTCAATCTTCGGAACGACGTCTTCTTCGTGCATCGCAGACGCGGGCGAAGATATCACCGTGAAGCTGAGGGACTGGGACACCTGCATTGGCGAGTCTGTGTCTGATGTGTTGCGGTCCGTCGAGAACACCCGCGTCGAGAAGATCTGCTCGGCTGTCGAAGTATACGTCCAGGGACCAGGCGACCCCCGCGGGATGTCATCGGGAGCTTCGAGGGACAGGCGGGAGAAGCTTTCGTTGGCCGTCGAGTTCGTGGGCGAGGGTGTGGTCGAGTCGCTGGTCGCTCTGCTGCTGCTCCCGTTGCTGTCTGCATCCGCTACCTCGCAGCAACTACTCCTGTTCCTCCCTCCACCAAGCCCGCTGCCGGTCTCGCTTGTGTGATTATAGTTATTGCTATCCTTGCTAGGCTCGCTGCGAACATTGGAAACGTGACGGCCGAGGTTGATATTTAATGATTGGCGGCAAACGTCGAATGCCGGCGCCCTCTGAGTGAACAACATCGACGGTTTATCCAACATCCAGATTTTCGTCTCGAACTAGGTCATATCAAAGTGGACACACGAGGAGGGAGAACGAATGGTGGAGGAGAAGGTTTCATTTATCTAATTTTTTCTCTCCTATGAGAAAAAGAAAAGAGGCCAGAAAGGGAGCCCGAGCCAGATTCAATCAAATGATGATTAGCCTCGCAACTCTAACGCACCGATTCAGATATGAGGGATGCTATCAAACTTTCTCCCTGGGATGGAGAGAAACGCAGGGAGAAAGGGAGAGGTTGGAAGAGAGGCAACCAGGGGGCAAGCGTCCACCGTCTGACAGCCAAAAGCCCCCGGAGCCAGGCCCTTGGACCAGATCGAAAAGTCGCCAGAGGCAAACAACGCAAAAAGAAAGGAACAGATGGAGAGTGAGAGAGCAAAAAAGGAACCTGCTGGAAAGAAAAGAAAAGAAAAGAAAAGGGAAAAAAAGAAGAGAACAAGCACGATACACACGTAACTCGGTATGCGGATTACGGTGTCCACAAATTGCACGGGAGTGCATACGGCCATTTGGAAACACATGGAGTACGCAGCAAACAAGATGACCGCCCAAGCCTGGTCAGTCCTTGTCGTATTTATTATCACGATTCTGGTTAGAGCGATCGCGGCCAGTGCGGGGACGGACTGGGTTGGCTGTTACGGCATGAAGCCTGCATACATATACACATACATAATAGGGACATGAGATGCTTCTTCACCCCAAGTGCCTACCTCCCTGCGGTTGGCCAGTTGCAAGGGATCTCGCCTGGTGCAAATCTCACGAGACGAAAAAAAAAAAAAAAAAAAAAAAAAGGAAATGCCAGAATACTGTCGTCGTCACAACAGCGGCCCATGAGAGAAAGCATCAAGACGGAGAAAGATAGCTCTTGCTCGATTGATACGCCGGCCTCGTGGACGCAACTATTTGGCGTACGTATACTCCTTAGTGTTGTTAAAAGGTCTTGCAAGCGGCTGGACAGGTCACTTCACATGTTGTCTCGGAATATTTCTCCTCCTGCGTGCAGCATGAGGACGCGTGAGCCAGCAATTCAGCCCCAGATCAAAACGCACACAGCATCAGGCGATACAATACCATGCATAGCATCTTCCATTCCTTGGCTGGATGGGCATGGCCTGGCAGTCACGCTCATTTCCACGACGCCAATTTTACTGGCTTCCCCAGCTCGGTTCCTCCACTGCGGTTGTGTTCTTACATGCGTTTTAACAACCAAAGATTGCACAAAATTTCGCGATGAGGAAGCATCCAGAATATTGGGGATTTAACTGGCTGTTCGTACGCTTGTTACATGTTCTGTATCCTCGTACTCGCGCTCGCACTTGGCCTCATGGTGATGGTGATGGTAATATGATGGAGAAACGGCTATCGAGCACAAGCTCATAGTTCGTTTCCCCTTACCTGCTGATCATCAACTCTCCTAAAGGTCCCCACATGGCCTTGATAAGTATATTATTCAAGTCGGTTGATTTCATGGGCCATCTTATTATTGTCCTGTTCCTAATCCGCCCGCCCAACGTACTTACAATGCAACCTCGTCCTGGTATACCGCAAACCCTGGTTCCAGGACGCGATGCCGCTCATTTCCCCCTGAGGCCCTCGGCTGAGTTCCTTATGCTTACTGAGCGGCATATTGAGTATTTACCAGCCGCCTCCACTTTGCGCCATGCCACCGAGCGCCTTTTTGTTGCATTATTTTTCCTCTCGATCTGCCGGCAGGCACTGTCTCCACCTCCATACATCTACCAACACATAACCAACTCAGAAAAGGAAACACCAGAGCCGTCTCTGACTTTTGTTTCGTAACTTCTCTGGTGACGCACTGGCGCCGTATCATTGGCCAGGTGTATGCCTTTCGGTCAAAACTCTCTTTTCCCCATAACTGGGAGGTTGGCTAGACTGTCATTCCAGTGTGTTGACTTCCTGAATATACAAGCCAAAAGGTTCTGAACCTAAAAGTAAGGGAACCAATCACACCAGAGAAGGCTCAGAGCAAGGCTTCCTCGAGGCCAAGTACGAACGAGATACTCCGTACTGAGTGAACACTGGAGGACAAGTTGCTACAGAGTACGCGAGCGGTTGGAAACAGTTCTTGGCACCCTGGGCTACACAACCATCAAATGCACAACAATCATGGAGCCTACGGAGTACGTACCCTGTACTTATTTACACCAGGGACGGAGTGCTTTATAATGGACAAACTCCGTACGGAGTACTCTGGTGGATACTCCCCAGTATGGTGCGCTGCCGAAGCTTCTGCGAGAAACCCACTCTAATGAGCATATATTAGTGAAAAACATAATTCGAAAGCGGACTGCAAGCCTCTTTTAACGCCTAAGGTCATGGGAGGCGACAAGATTTTCCAAGACGGGACAACTTGGGACACGCATAAGAAAAGCAACATGCTCAGGTGACTGCGCAATGTGTACGGAGTAAACATACCGCAGTTCTCGGCCTGTATTTGCAAGAGGACAGAGGCTCAACCCTGGATTCACAAAGGCACACAAATTTTTCTCATGTTAACTTATGAGTGATGGTGGGTCTTCGATTCGGGGTTGGACATTTCTGCCCCCCAGTGAACAAAAGCAGGGTTACGCCAGGGTAATCAAGAGACCTTGAACAAAAACGGAGCATTAACAGCAATATACTCCGCCCAAACCCATCATCCTGAAGAGTGTAACAGCAATCATGGCAGACAAGGTACTCCGGCTTGCCCAAAAATGGAATAAACCCAGTGTTTGGGCCTCAAGGCTCAATCCCTGGCCGTATCTGTGGTCCAGTTAGGAATGATACTCCTGGCAATGGCTCCACCTGCGGGAAAGGTTGGAGCCAGAGGGCGATCGGCGATCGAAACCATCCCCATCGAAAAAGGGCCAATACCATTAATCGTCTTCCACAAGGACTGGCCATTAACAGAAAGAGTTTCAGTTCTCATTTCACATTGGCACTCAAGCCATTTTGATGGAAGGAAGAACACCTAAACCCGATGCAGTTCCTCGTATGCGCCTCTATACGCGAGTGGCTGATCGTTTCAACTATGAATCGGGTCCACGAATTCGGGGACCGACTTGCTTCCAATACACAACGCCATTGTGTAGCCATTGTCTCTGGGGCTTTGAGGCAAGATGTCTGATAATGATTTCTCTCCCTTTTAACTGAGAGGGCGTACTCCATATATCACACTGTCTCTCGAGAAAAATGCCCCGGACCAATTCCGTCCTGGATGAAAACAGAAAAGCCCATCCCAGTAACTACACAAATGAAATGTTTGGTGGGACCTGCTCCGCTTTTCTACTGGCGGGCCGCACTCCCCGAACCAGGCACTAGGCCCCAGAAACTTTTATAGTTCAGTCGCCTATTATAGTTATGGGCCGTGAACCTTGCAGCCACAGCCGACACATAAATAAAAATATATGTAAGTCTGCTTGATGTTTGACACCAACAGAGATTTGGCCCTAAGAAAAAGAACTTTTTAGAGATTCCTTTAGGTCTATGCACCAAAATCCATGATGCAGATGTTTCGATATAATAATACCCGCTGTGGAGTTTACTAAATTACGAAAACGCAGGATTCTGCCTTTTTCATCCAGTCCTCTTGCGAGCGGCCCTGCCTTGAAGCGAAAGGTTACGCTGACGCATACCTCGTACTCTGCTCTGCGACAAAACATACGGAATGCGTCATTTTTCTTCGTATTCCCCTTCCACAGGCTGACCAAACAGAGTTCCTCAACGTCTCGAACCCTCTGGACCGCAGCGGTGGAGTTGCTTGGTCCTGACAGAGGAGGAAAGATGTCGCATGACACCTTCAGCCAGCAAGGACCCCTCCAGCCGTCATTCCCGAGCCCATGGAATGCAACGGTGTGGTCAGCAATGCGAATGGAGTCTTTCTCCGTGAACTCCGTGCCAGCATCTTCTCCTATCAGGCAATACTCCTGACAAGGGCCCCAAAATGATACTCATTTTACAGTAAGCCCTGGAAATACCTACATGTATCTTGTTGCAGGACAATTTCATTACCTGGGACGGAATAGATGATGACATGGCATTATCAGGAGGGAAAAGAAATTTCAAGATTTTGATGAGAGGACACATTTCTCCCCTGTCCCTCATTCACACGACAACTTCCTGGTAATGGTGTTGAGCCCCCAGTATTCGCTCAGGCTCCTCAAATTGCTTTTGGGTACTAGAGAAAAAGAAAAAAAAAAAAAAACCTAAGCCTTCAATGACAACCACAATAACTACTTGTGCGAATCGCAAAGAAGCAGGATCAAATGAATCCTTTTTATCACTTCCTACACTGCGCCACACTAGCCAACCGAAGCTTGGTCTGGGCCAGAAATGCTTTCGGCTTTCCGAGTATCCGTTAACGTCAAATGTTGGCTCGATAACATCTCTGGGGTATGAATTTCTTCAGCAAGCAGGTAATCTCGGATCATACTGAGAAATAGTACGCCGTAACTACGTGCGATGACCAAGTATGGGACATAGTATGGAGTATTTGTCACAGCTTATTTGCCCTTCTAATATAGTTACCGGTTATGCGTGGCATTCTTCGTCCTCACACCAGCCTGTGTCGATAATTGGAAGTTACCTCCCTTCCCACTGCCGGAAGCGGAGGCTGTGACGGGAAATCTCGGCCAGTGTGTGTTGGCCTACTGAAATTGCTTTCGTGATACGCTGCGGAAAGAAAAACCTGTCGTCGTCTGTGAATACATACATCGTCATGCTACGTTATTTTCGAGCTGGTTTAGATCAGGCATCCGCGGTGTGCGACAGGAAATATTTTGTTGATGGACGACGGCTCTGTCATACATCAAGTCCCGCATCCCCTGCACTGTTGATCTTGTCTCCCTGCCCACTGAAAGGTTTGGGAACAGCGAATAAAGGGCAAACAAACATGGTGGAGTGGAAAGCTCGCCTTACTTTTGTGGCCCCCTGTCTAATGAGTGGAGCAGTTCTGCTCCCCTAGAAGGTAGCCTGATCCGAAATGCCACTGGAAGAGATACGTGTGCTTCCAATGAAAGGCGCCTAGCCAAACAAATTGAAATCACGACGATATTTTATATTCTAGGCAATTTCCTTTGAGGCTGCTTTTTCATATCTGCTTTTTAGAGGTGGCAACTAGAATTTTTCTTCCTGATGAAACCCAACGGCCATTTAAAAATACCCCTCGAAGGATTGGTACATTATCTATGGGAAGGAAAAGAGGAAGTGTAGTAGATAACTACTAAACTACTACTATTGGAGTATGAGTCTGTTGATCATATATCACTAAAATTTACCAATAGCGGTACTTCAGATCGTGATGGCTGACTCCAAAGCCAAAAAGACAGGCGATTGCTTTTCTATAAATTTTAATGGATCCAGGTGCGTCAATTCCGGGTACTCCACCAAGCGTCTTTATTGCCATTTGCGAAAATATCCATCTTATGCCGCTTGGTGGAATCGAAAAATCAAGAGACGGTCAATATTTGATCCTTTTACACCGAGGATTGAGTATGCAGCCTCCCACACAACATCTACAGGTTACCACTTTATGCCCTTTTACCGCTCTTCTGTTGAACAGATGGACTATCATTGTTCTACAAGGGCCGATGGTATATTCCCATGGAACATATATGATCCTTATGTTTTACTTGTCCTTATCCAGATTCACTAGAATACGTGCTCGGTTTATACCAAATGGTATTACCAAGTCTTTCCTATCCATGGGATGCAAGGGTAAATATGGCAGCTTTGCCATGACATGGCCGTTGATGTATTCCCCTACTATTTCCATGAAATGGTACGATAATTCAAAACCATACCCTAGCTACAGCACTATGCTATACTTGTAGCCTCTCTATGTGCGTTATAACAGTAAGCCCTGAATGATGTACTCTTCTATGTAGCATATCCCAGTTCCATAAAGCTACGGCAGAAGATGCCTGTCATTTTCCCTATCAGACAGGAGGACTTTTTTCAAATACAGATATAAGTGATGGTTACGAATATGCCGTTTGTTGCTTACCATTCACGCGCCTTGCCAGTGTTGCCCGGACGTCACCCGGGTCACGGGGAAGCTCCAACTACTTTGTCCCAAAAGAGCAAACAACAACCTCACTTCACCAGCTTCAACGCGTCTGTCTCTCCCTCCTTTCCGTACTAACAACGCCTTAGACAGCGCCACAAGGAAACAAGTCTGTCCTTTAGATTCCACCATCTCTCCCTCGTTCAATTTGCTCGTACCAGCTTCGTTCAACACCTGGCAAGCGCTACACCAACGGTAGTTAGCATGGTCACAATGCGTACCTCATTGTTAGCTTATCTGGCTATTGGAGGACTTGCTAGAGGAGCATTTTCCGCTATTTTACCCCGAGAGTAAGTCATATCACTTATTGGTACTTCAGTTGATATCATCTTGCTATAGGTAGCTGGCGAGAGCTTCATCCCAGGCCGTCACTGTTGTGCCCTAACGAGTACAAGCCTATTTTGTCCCTTCACTATATCGTGTCTCGTTCCAGAGCAGTGCTGATACTTCAACTATAGATGGTCAACTGGTGATTTTAGACTTGGTTGTGAGGCCCTCTCCACATCGGGGATCCAACATCCTACGCTGCGTATGACGAAGGCAGCATTCGCCCCCTTCCAGAATGTTACTGCTTCTACGCAAGCCGTTACCACTACCCTCCCACTCGCGGCCAACATCATTAACGAACCAACATTCTTAACCACTAGTTATATGCCATATACTAGCACCATCTCTGTGGTTGAAAAATGTCACCTCGCTGGGAAGGAAGTAACAATGCAAGGCAAGGAAATCACCTCAGACGTTATTTCCAAGCCCCTCGTGGATAGTGAGCCTAACTGCTCAGTTGCAAATACTGTCACAGTCACTATCACTGAGATACTCTTCCGTACGACGGTGCTCTCCATGCCAACCCTTTCAGGTACTAAACAACCAACCCTGGTCACTTCCACAGCTACAGAGCCAAGTCCCACAGTTGGATCCATCATAAGTATTCCAAGCTCAATTAAAGTTCTAACAACAAAGTCTGCTACGGCATTTCCTTCAATTGGGCTTGGTCCTGGCGGATGGAATGCTTCGACCATTGCAACACCATCGACAGGCGAAGCCATCAAAGCTGGAATGATCGAATACGAAATGCAACACTCAGCCAAACCTTCTACCTTATCAATGCGATCACAAGCGCATGAAGGCTCAGTTGGAGATACGGTGATCGCAACGACAAAGGGCAACGTAGTGTCATGGAAGGGAGAGCGGAATGAAAAACAACCATTTCCGTTTATATCTATCAAATCCATAGCACCCATTCAAATTTCAGGTATGCATATTTTTATGGCTACTGGCAGCCTTCATATTCCAGGTACTATTGATGAATATTCAGTGAGGTTGCGTATCTAATGTATTTTAGGGACAGGTGAGGTAGCCTTATCGCGCACTACCGCAGCTGGTGCAACTCCTACCTCGTGCGGGGAAACTGGTGTTTTCAAAATTAACGTAAGATAGCCAACTTCCTTCGATATAATATATGTTGTCTAACAATATATCTAGTTTGATGATCTTCCGGTGTACTCACCTGGCAAAAACAAAACAACCGCGTTCCCGCCCATCTTCAGCCCATACCACCACTTTTTCTTCTCTAGTGGTTGGTCGTACGGACCCCCTCCGACGGAACCATTTACTCCAGTGTCGAATCCGCACATTGGTATACATGTTCCAACAAAACGGGAGGGTGAGAAACCTCAATCCAAGGGGGAATTTGGAGGAGGACCCCGCGCCTCTCAAAAACTGTTTTGGTTCGATGCCTTCAGTGCTCAAGTGGGCTGCAATACTGGGAACACCTCGCGTGCCTGCGAGTTAACTGTACAGGGGTTAAAGTACTCTGCAGAATCCGGTACTGAAATCCGTGCTGGAGTTAGCAGATTCACGATTCCTCCCTGCCGCGAACCGAAACACTGTATCCTAACCGAAGTCCTCTTTGGGGATGGCTTCAGCGGGTTATCTGGAATTGAGATTGAAGCGCAGATGGATGGCAGAGCCACTATGTGGTATATTGATGATATCCTGCTTAAATGGCACGATGATACCTGTGCTTCTGGGATTGAACGCCAACGTTCGCGCTTCTAACTTGCATCCAACTCGCAACATCCGGCCGCTATAGCTTCCTGAGCTGATGAATAGATCTTACAGAGACACTGGAAACAAGGATGATATGGGTCATAACTTTAATGTTGTATGCTATATCCACTGACTAGGCCATGTAGCAGAATCTTGCCACCCACTTTTATCAATTGAACTTGAAGAAATCAATATTGCACCTTCCAAATTACCTGCAGGCGGCAGAACGTTCTTGTGAAGTTGTGAAGTTGAAACAGACGAAAATAAACACAAAAATAACATTATTTAGTAATCAAACAAAATTAAGGTTATGCTTAAAAAGTGGAATGCACGTGATATATTACATAAGCACCGCCATGACGTCGATTTTTCTTTCCGAAGTTGCCGTGTAGGTAAATAAAATAGTCCGTTAGGACTGCACTTCACTTCCGTTTCCCCCGGGTAGGCCTCCGTTCAAGAGCTGTCTGTCCCTCTTACCAATGGGACCATAGGCACCTGGCTGTGTTGCCATTTCGCTTCCTGAGGCGATTAATTCTGTTGGTTTTCACGGGTTCTCCAGCTCCCGTTCGTCATGACAATTCTATCCATGCGGGAGCTTCTCCAGTTCCCCCCTGGCGATAACGAGACTGACACGCTGATAAACGGTGTTCACTTCAATACCACAACCCTGAACTATTTTAACTATACCCTATATTCGAACGGGACGCTTTCGAACGGCTCTAAATGCTGGTTGACGTTCGATATCTACAAACCACTTCTCCTATCGAACGGAACATTTATAAACGGTACATCATGCTATGTCCCGATCAAAGGCCTGAAGGCTCGAGGGAGCGTCGGAATTGCATTTGCAGCTCTCTTTGCGGCCACATTGTTCCTTTCGGTTATCAGCCTCCGAAAACATGGCGAACGCTTTTTGCCGCTTGAAAAGCGGTGGACAGTTGTTGGGAGGCGAGCACAGTGGTATTGGATGATATTTCTTACGGTCTGCGGAGTGGTTAGCTGTTTCATGAGCATTGACGTGGATCGTGACTATTTACCCCAGACCGCCATCATTTTGCAGAGCTTCTTCTACTATCTAATGATACCCGTGATGCTTGCCATGGTATGGGAGGGCGTTCGGCACTGGTTAGTAAACTGCCCTTTTCTTTATTTTCTTTATTTTGTTTTGCCTTGCTTTTCATTCTAACATAGCGTGTAGGGGATCGTGGCAGGAACGCCAAGTAGTTGACCGAGATAGTTCCGCATTTCCCGCAGAATCAACTAGAGAGCGACAAGAGCTCTTCCTGCCACTGCTATTTTACCTTTTTGCATTTCTGTCTTTCTTCCTATACGTCCCGAGATCGTGGTCGGCGATAGAGAAACAACGGACTTTTGAGCAGCAAGAAGCTATAGCTAAACAAGCTGCCACTGATACCCGCTTCAAAGCCGGAAATATCATTGCAGGCTTTTGCATCTGCATAATATGTTACAGCCTGGGACATAGCTTATTCAGATATAAGTGGCAGGCTCAGGGACAATCTTCGCTTATATCCATAGTCATGACTATCCCAGCCAAGTTCATTATTGTTATTACCCTTGCGGGAATTTCTGTTGCATTCAACATTGCATCTTCCTTTATCTGGCAAATATCCCCTCTGAAGTATGACGGCAATCCGGGGTATCTATATGGCTTAGGATACGGGCCACCTCTTGTGATAGTCACGATTCTCAATATTTTCGCCTACCTTGAATCTAACGAGGATAGAGAGTTGATAAGACAGAGAATTCAGCGTGGACGTGCCAACGACACTGAGCTTGGCATCGAAGCTGGTAGAAGGAAGCCTGCATGGTGGAGGCGGCTGAGGCCAGACTTCAAAGGCGACGTTGGAAACACTTATGAGGCAAGGCTACGCGCTCTCACTACAGAGGTTGGCGGTGGTAGGCCGACCCAACGAAATATAGAACAAAGGGTGGAGATGGGCGTTATTGATACCAGCCGTTATAGGGATTCCGTCGATTCCCAAGCGCAAAGCAACGCAGACCCATTCACAGATGACCATCGCCACCATCCAAATCCCCAGTCTACTGGTAGTGAACCTACAGAAGCACCTGTCGAACCTGGACCCAGAACAGGTCGGCTTCATAGCAGTACGGCAAGTCAGTTTTCTCAGTCCTCCGGCGAAACACTCGTCTCGCAAGCCAGAAATCAACCGCGTGTCAGAAGCATGCTTGATGTCTAGGCCGGCTGTCCCCAGATTCTCGCTTCCCCCGTGTCTGATATATAACGCTAGCGTAAAGCTAGTTTGGTCCAATATATATGTTAATCTCACGGCATGAGTATATATATGTTTTATTTTATATTTTTTTACTTTGTTTTTTTGGGAACTCTTGTCTTGACGTGTTTCAGCCGCATGTTCTGCTAGCAATATAGAATGACTCGATGATCTGGTTGTGTACCTTTCGTCTATCATACACAGAGTATTGGGATAGTCTAAGTCACCAATAGATGAAGAACGCTCGAATTATCAAACAGACAAAGTTACGAGAGGGGATATTATAGCGTGCTTCATAGATTTACTCTCAATGGGATGGATCCCTTCTCTCTTGACAGAACTAGATATCCATCAATAACTCAACAGGGTCAGGAAGGTTGCAGTCATCACATTCACTGCTCCAACAATCGACTGGTACTCTAACTAGTATTCAGATAAGAAGTGGACGTGGATCTGAGTAGTTGCAGCGTCTCTTGGTTTAGTTATAGCTCAATATCTTATATTATTGACTGACCACCCCTGATATTTGAGATACTCGCCACAGGCCATTCGAATAATCAACCCCTACATGGCCCTGTGCATTATCATCAGATGGTGCTTCAACCTGCAGGAAGTCGTCAACCGTATCGCCGTAGCTGCTGCTCGAGGTAACGGTATCATCAGCTAAGGCCATGGATCTCCCCATGATGACCCATAGTTAACTGCTTAACTTCTGAACCTTGGAAACCATAACTATACATACAGGTGGTCCATGGTCCGCATTTTCTTTCACTGGCATCTTGATGCAACGGCATCCTAAGCCCCGTTTATGAATTGGATATCTCGTCTTAAGATAATTCAGGGGCACTAAGATTTCCCTCTGGGCGATTGTTAACTAACTCGGCGGTTTGTACAGCCATTCCCCCAGGCGTTGGAGGACAGACTGATTGGCATTTGAAATCACCAAAAAGCAATACTCACTAACTAATTAAGTCGTTCGTTAGTTAGTTTGACAACCCTGATGGAAAAAAAGAGACGCGAAGATACGCAGAGTCTAGAGACTGGAGAACCAGAGAATATCGTTACCCTCGTATGTACTGAGTTAAGCAGTGAATATTAAGTCGTTAACTTAACTACTGGTTAATCCCCGCTGGTGCCAGATCAACGCTCACAGACAGACAATCAGCATCCAAAACTGCATCCTGCATGGCCCTACATGGGACTTCGATGGCCGGCAGTATAGGCACATCCTCCATAAGTCGGTTAGGACATGTCCCTTGCTGTTCCGCCCCTCGCGCCCCTGTCTCCCGCCACCCTTGGGCGTGAGTGAGCTCGCCAGGCGCTCTCTTCTTGCTCTCTGTATTTTGATAGGCAGAGAGCGTTGCTGACCCTTGAAGGAACGCAGCTGGATGTGCGGTCGATCGCCGGGACAGTCTTTGCTTTGTTTCTTTTTTGGTAGGGTATTATCGCAGGGTCAATCCTCTCTGCTCATACATACTCTGTACAGCATTAACGCCCACTAATCATGCCTGGCCCATTTGATAGTCGCTAAGCCGAGGAGTTACACGGCGTACGGCCAGGGAGCGGGTGGATAGGTTAAGGGTGAGTGAGTTGCAGTGGGACAAAAAGAAAGGAAAAGGACGCGGAAGAAGACGACGAAGAAAAGAAGAAATGAAAAATAAAAATAAAAAATTCAACAAATGCATGTCTGCCACCCACTTGCTTACATGGCCAAGATAGGCTGGCAAGTGTTGTTATTCGACACTTGCTTTTGTTTTAGGTGTTGCTTTGTTTCTTATTTGTTCGTTACGCTGCAGTGGGAGGAATACGGGAGGTGGAGGAGCGGGAGGGAGCCAGCCGTTCCGTTAGCACAAAGTTGATTTGATCTGGGCCTCTGCCTTTGCTAGAAGATACGCTGCAGCAGGTTGGGTGGAAGGCGAGTAGCAAACAAGAAGCAGTTGTTGATTATAAGTAGCTCGTTAAGAATAAAAAAGGGGGTACATTCGTTGGGAATCAAAAACGGATATCAGATTCGATGGTATAAGGCGGCAAGGCACATAACGAGAGGGGAATAAGAATAAATAAGGGAAGGAAAACGGAAGAAAGAGAAGAAGAAAACAGAGACAGAAACAGCGGTCAACTCCATTTGCCCGTCCGAATTTATTCCGATAACTTTTTTGTGGCCGTGGTGAACCCATGATGAGAAGAGACAGAGAACATACGGAGCAGTCAAGACAGGAAACAATAGAAGAAAAATGTAACAAGACCCATTTAATGACCCGCCACCGGACTTGAAATGCTAGAATCATCCCTTAAAAACCGCAAACAGAAAATGCCGGATGGAAAAGTGTAACAAAGGAGACAAGGAACAACAGAGTCTGAGGGGGGAAAGGACATGAACGCACACAGAGAGTGAGAATGGGGAGATAGGTTACCACACCAGAATAGACTCGGACTCGGCAACGGATATCGAAGAAGAGAAGGAAAGCAAATTTGGTGGAATCGTAAAAGTGTCGGGGAGAAAAGGGCAGGTTAAACAGGGGAAAGGGGGGGTGGGAGAGAGAGAGAGAGAGAGAGAGAGAGAGAGAGAGAGAGAGAGAAAGAGAGAGTGCGTGTGTGTGTGTTCAAACACTAAGCTGTAAACACCCTGTCCAGTTGTCGAAGGGCTCGCATGTCTTCACCAAACCCAATCTTCTCGCTGGGGATGTCCTTTGGCCCGTCACCTGCCATTCCAGGAGCTGGAACTCCCTGGTGATAACCTGGTATACGGGCACTGTCGTTGAGTGGCGGACCGTTCATCAGAGCATTTATGCTGGGTACAGCAGTGGCCGATGAAGCGGGCGGAGGAACATCAAGAGGGTGGGCATGAGCGTGTCCATGCACTTGAACGTGGCTGTGGCCATTTTGTTGTGGGCTTGACTGCTGGGGAGATCGATTTATATGTGACAGGCCAGGAGATCTCATGGGCGTATGCTGCAGCGAGCTCATTGCTTCTCTTGGAGAGTGCGAACCGGTAGATGATACACTATGTCGTGAGTCTGGTTTACTGCCGGCCTGATAGACAGGCTCTCCGGGTCCCATATGGCCAGCCTGTGGATGGCTTGGTGATCTTGCGGTGGCATAGTAAGGATATCCGCGAGGACTAGCACTATGGCCGTTACTGGCATGAGCAACGGGGCCAGGCGGAGGATCAGCCGGATGAGGCCGGTCGTACTGTGGTGGGTAGACTGGCTGAGAGGGCGGCATATGTGGGTGCTGGGGGTGAGCATATTGATACTGCGGAGGGCCGTTGGCGCCTGAGAGAGGCGGAAGATAGCTTCCTGGGGGGTATCCGGGTTGCGCAGGGTGCGGCGGCTGTCCATTCATCGGCGGTGGGTGTGCTACCGGCCAGTTATAAGTAGTAGGAGAGTACCCATGCGGGTGAGCTGCCGGCGGACGGGCGTAGTGCTGTACAGGAGGCGGTACTGAGAAAGCAGTGCCGGCCATAGGCCCTCGTGTGACCACCGGGAGGTTCTGCTGGTCGTTGACGCTGGATTCTGGATATAAGCCCTTTTGCGGCTGTATATGCCGTAACGACGGGTCGGTCGAGGGCTGGTTGAGGCCAGGAACGGTTGGATGGGACCGGGCGTAGTAGCTGATCAAGTGAAGATGCTGTCCGGTCGAGGTTGTTATGCTGAATGACTGTTTCATGAGGCCGTCTGGCTTGTATCGGTAGCCGTCAGGGCCCTCTTCACCACCCTCGCCGCCGTCTTCATCACTGCCTCTGGTGCTGTCTGGCGTCTTCCCGGCCCTCGACGCCTGCGCAGCATGGCTGCCTCCGCGCTTCCCTTCCATCTCTCGGTATGTCAAGAAACTGCCTGATACCCTGCTGGCGCTCCATGACTTGCCATCTGTCCATCGCCGCATGCCAGCTTCCCGCTCGTCCCAGACGAACACCGAGCCGGACTTTATCGACTGTCTCTCTTTTTCTGATAGTCTCCTCTGGACTCTGGGCAGCAAGCCGATCCGGCATGCTTCGAACAGGATGATTGCGTCCGCAGGCGTGCGAACATGGCCGTGATATGTCTCCATCGGCGCCTGTGCTGGTGTGCCTCAGGCGCAAGCGCGTAGAGAAGAGAAACCGTTCGACTGCTCAACCGAGGGGGATCTCGCGCGAGTATGGATTGATATCCAGACAACGTCTTTCTCGTATGTCCTTCTTTTTTGTTTTCCTTTTATTTTCTCTTCTTCATGTAAGATCTATCGGCGGTTTTTGTGATTAGCGATGGGGTTCTCATTCAAGGGGTTTTCAAGCGCCGACTCTCAGATAACTATCCGGGCTGGAGAAACAGCAACGGGGAGTAAAAGAGACGGATATTTATTTGATAGCACACCGCCACAGAGAATGACCAGAATCTGCAGATTACTCTCTGTTTATTACTGCTAGCGAGGTGGAAACCGCAGTAAAAAAAAAAAAAAAAGATAATACCCAGGCAAGGGGAGGGAAAAAAAAAAAAAAAGAGATTTGGGAGGGGCAGCAAGCGAGGAGCAACGAGCAACGTTAGATATAAGAGCATCCAGCACGAAAACGACGACAACAAAGAGTAAAGTTGATAAAAAAAAAGGGGGGGAGGGAGCATCGACGGTTAGAGCAACTTCTGAGACAAAGATTCTAGTTGTTACAGGCCGTGGACAAGCAAATATCACAGCTGGTGCGGCCGGCGGCAACAGCACAGCTAAGATCGAGAACACGCCGAACTAGATTGAGGCCGGGCAAACAACAACAAAACAGCAGCTATGGTAAACTATGAAGGTCAGCTTACCTATGGCTATGGCCTTGGATACCCCTTCAACCACCGTCTATCTAACTGTGAAGGCGCTTTAAGCTGGACGTTGAGGGTGTTTGACTCCTATCCACGGGTTGGAAGACGAAGAACGCAAAAGGTTGAGATAAAAGAGAGGAAGAGAGGGAGCTAAGAATAAAACTGGGTAGCCTAGGAGTATATGTAAGTGAGAAAAAGCATCAGCCCTGAGGAGGCTTCTGGCTCCGGTGGATTTCTTGCGGTTCTTTAATTTTGTTTAATTTTTATAGACTTTGCAAATAAAACAAGAAGCCGGCAAAAAGCAACGAAGAGGCAGCAAAGAAAAAGCACTTTTTGCAGGAGAAGAACGAAGGAAGATTGGATGGCAGACCTGCCACGTGAGATGCAAAGGGGAAGCCAGAGCAGAACAAGACGAGTGGACGGTGGGCCGTACGCAGGCTTGTACCGCCAGGGAGTGAGCATCCATCGAGTCTATCAGGAGCTAACTCCGTCGGGGGAGGAGGAGGAGGAGGAGGAGGAGGAGGAGGAGGGCTGCTATTAAATAAAAAAAAAAAAACAATAACACACAAGCAAGCCCAGAATGACGAGGTTTGTTACTCCGTACTCCGGACTGACATTAATATTACTACTTGCTATCCAAGGCTGAAGGCTGACTGACGAACAGACAGAGAAAGGATGGCGAGAGAGCAGCATCTCGTTTCTGCCAGATCCACTGCCCAGCGCGGGTTTCGTATTACAATATGAGAAGAGCAGCAGCAGATCGATCCTCTCCGCTGCCATTGCCGCCACAGAGAGTCGGTCATTCTGGTATTATTATTATTAATTGCTTCCCCAGCATCGTTGCACGAACCAAGAAGCAGTCACTTGCCGAGTTACACTGCTAATAGGCGAGGGGGGAAGGGATAATGGAGGAAGGGAGCTTTTTTCTCTTATCTCTTTTTCAAGGCGAGATACTCCGACCTGGCGCTGGCACACTGGGACATGGCATGATACAAAAGCGTTTTATAGGACGCAAGCCAAGCAAGTGGATAAACTAAAATGATTTGAAAAAAAAAAAAAAAAAAAAAAAAAAAATAGGGGAGGGGTTGGGGGGGGGAGGATAGCGCATGGCATGGCATGGCGCTGGCTGTGGCGACGGGCGACTTCTCACTAGCTACCCTCGCTCAGTCCCTTCTGACAAGACAGACATTCCAACACCAAGAGCTTGGGAACGTTTTGACGGAAGAGGTAAATATAGTAAGAAAAGAAAAAGCAGGTTAAGCTTGGATTGCTAAGCACTGGTCGGTAGCCAAAACTGTTAGTTGGCGAGGCCAGGCCGCGTCCCTCCTGCTGCTTCGTCCCGAAAGGATGCAAAAGCCACGTTGTGCTTTTTGAGAACCGCAAAGCAAAAAAGAAAGGCAAAAGAAAGCAAAGCTTGGCCGAAAGTTTGTGGCGGTCCTGCTCGCAACCCCCCTCTTCCCTCGTTCTTATCATGCGGCTAAGCGGAATGGCTGATAAGTGCTATCTCAGCTACTACTAAGTACTACGTACGGAGTACTTACTATGTATCAGATGGGGGTCTGGCAGAGAGTTGGGTTATCTAAGCCTAAGCTCCAAAGGCGCGCCCGAACAGCAGAATCAGGGAAGCGAACGATCGATTGTTTGATTGCCCGTCGATCCAATGGCCCAGCGGCCTCACCGTCCTGCTCCTCGCGCACCGCCTGCGCCGCCGCGGCAGCACCATCCCGCTGCACTCGCACGACTGCTCCCCAACAGCCGCCCGTGCTGTCTTGCTGTCTTGCTGTCTTGCTTTCTCGCTGACTCTTGCTGGCCTTGCTTGGTCCTTTATGTAAAAGTCCAAGCAGCAACTCTAATACGCCCCTTGCCGCGAACTTTAACCCTTTTTGTACCGCAAAGAAAAAAGAAGCAAAAAGCCAAAAACCTTAAAAACCTAAAGTGGACTTGGCATTACGCTTATTACTAATGGAGTTACACTGTGATCCTTGTTTATCGTCTTGTGTTGATATGTTGTGTGTTTTTTATTTTTATTTTATTTTTTTTTTTCCTCGGTGTTGCTGCCCATCGCAGAGGGTTGTGTTTTATGATAAGCGAAAGGCGGGGGACGGGGAAAAGGGAGTGAATCGGTCGGATGGGCCAGGGTGGACGCTGGGCGCTGAGTGTGATGTTGGTCATTCGCGGTGAGGGCGAAGCATTGCTGTCTCAGCGTGGAACGGTGGGTTTTTGCCTGTGATAGTTTGCCGGATGGCTCGGCCCAAACGTCATAACTTTTCTGCTCCTGACGTGGGTCGTGTTCGAAAGGGAAACGGTAAAATCGGAATATCGAGAGCAAGATCGCCGGGCATAGTACCTTGGCTGGGCAGCCCTGTTGGTTGGTAAGAGTACCACCGTGGGGCCCAGAAAGGCCCATATGTACAGCCTGCCCTCTCGTCGCTGTCCACCCGCGAACTCTCCCAGGACAATTTAAAGAATTTAAGAATACTAAGCATGTCCACGGACCACAGCCAAGTCTCTTAGTGCTTTTCTTTTCCGCTCTGAGGCGTGGACGGTACTCTGCTTCGTGCCGCTTCTGTACCCTTATGTCTCCTTGACATGCGGATCAATGCATGAGCCACGATGTTATTCTCCGCTGTCTGTTGCGGCCATCATGTTTTGCAAAAAAAGGAAACATCACTGGGGAGGGAGGGAAAGGGAGTGAAAAAAGAAAGAGAAACAACTAGAGGGATACAACTCCGTCGATGGGCCGCGAATATCTGGGCAGGTTTGGTCTGTTGAGCCAGCTACCCTTGGCGTTAGTACCGTACATACGAATACCGCCATAAATACCTTTGACGCTGCCAAGTTTATAAGCGAATTCGCGGGTCCATTGGCGGAACCTTAATTATGCTTAGGAAGGTTAAATTTTATCTTCTCCTTCGCGTTTGTGGGGTTGGCTCCGCTGCACGCCAAATGCCTACACATATCATCCGATTCGGATGTTGGATTCTCTTTATTATTGCCTACAAGGGGAATATGACAGGCAAAGGAAAAAGGGGCGATCTTCGCTTTTTGCTGAACTGTGAATGCGAATGCTGGGATGCGACGTTGCTTAGCTAGCGCATGGGCTAGTCGCCAACACTGTTCGTTTTTCACTCTCGGGTGTCTGCTTATCAAACGGAAAAGAGCTGTTGGTCTGTTGATAAAGGTCCTCTCCCCCTTGAGTCAGCATCTGGCTTTATTTTGTTCAAATGATTCATAACCGCCCTATCACCATGCTGCGAGCAGCCGAAAAATATAATTAGATACGGGAACAGCGTGGGTAAAACCCAGCCACATGAACCCGGGAATCCTTTGGGAATTACCCCCCGTTCTTCCATCCTCCAGAAATACATGTACACACCGTCGTACACTCACGTAATTCCGTCCTTTTGCCTCGAGAAAGCAACGACCTGTGACGTCTAGAGAGCCAAGCTTGCCAAGCGGAAATATCACACTTGCTTTGCTCCTTGTGGGGGGTTTTGTGGCGTCACGGATAACTAGTTGATTCGTCGTGCAGCTATTTTCTGACACAAGACGACAACTCGATTCTTATTTTACTTGGGAATATTAATATTAGCTGGACGAGCAAGCGAGAAAGAAAAACGTTAGCCGAGGCGTTGGTTATGCTTCACACCGCGCCTCAAAAGGGGGAGGAGATGAAAAGCGTGCGGAGAGAGACTTTTTTTGTTTTAAGGGGTTGGGAATAAATAGCTCGTTCGCAACACACCATTCCAACCCAGACTATTTAGCATCCAACTAGTGAGCTGTAAGTACTGCTATGTACTCTTGAAGTCTGGAAACCGGCTGGTAGGCGAACAGGTGGCTGGCTACACCTCGACACAGGGACACACTGCTTTGATTTTTCGGGGCTCAGGAGCTGATGTGGTGCTGACTTTCTGTGCTCAGCTTTGTTCTTCACCCATTTTTACGACCACAAACCGAGGTTGAGCAGCAGCATGATGTCCTCGGTGGTTGGTGGTTGGTTCTATAACAAGCTTTATGTAGCCTTTTGAAAAGCCTTGGCCGGAGTAACTAAACCTGCTCCCCATTTCCGGTCGGACTGCACGCTTGTTGGCCGTCGGGGAAGCGCTTCCGTTGGGTCCCTCGTGGAAGTTGAGATATCCAACATCTCCGCCAAATAGTGCGGGACCAAGGAGTTGATTGCCGTCATCGGCGGAGCAACCTTTATGCTTGATCCTCGGTGAAGTGTCCGGAGGGGGGGGGGGGCGATAGGGAAGGCCCCAGGGATAAGGC